TGTTTCTGTCTCTCTTTTTATTTATCCCTCGGTCTCTGGCACCCAAGTCCCTCCCCAAAAAGTTTCTCTCTCTCTCTCTCTCTCTCTCTCTCTCTCTCTCTCTCTCTCTCTCTCTCTCTTTCTCCCCGCCCCCCAGGTCTGGCTATGTAGTGCAGGCTGACCTCAAACTTGCAGCAATCCTCCTGCTTCAGCCCCCCCCCGCCCCACATTTGGGGTTGGTGCATCACCAGGCTTGTTGCCTTTCTGTCTTCACGCTGCGTCTAACCTCGCACTCCCCTAAAAGGTCTATTCTGGCTCCCAATTAGATCCTTTATCCTCCCATCCTCCCTGCGTACCCTTGGTCCTTTCTGTTCAGCGTATCTTTGTATCTCCTATTCTGGCGCCCTCCAGGAACCATCACCCCCACCTCCCGCCCGGGGTTCCACTGTCTGTTCAGTGCTATCCTCAGGCCATGCTTCCTTCATTCCATCAACCCTCCAAGATCCAATCCCCAGTCATCTAACTAACCTCGGGAGCTGTCTCTCCTGTCTCCCAGATCTTCCCCTAGGCCCTAGCCACGTCCATTAGACCTTCCAGTGTTCTAGCACTGACCCTGGTTCCCCCCTGATGTTCTAGCCTGGTCCACCCAAGCTCTAGCCCAGAATGAGCGTCCATCCCTAGCTCCGCCCAATAGTCTAGCCCCACCTCCAGATCCTCTCCTAGGTTCTAGCTCCAGCCCTGGCTCCTCTCTAGTTTCTGAGCCTCGCCTCCAGCCCCCTCCCCTAAAGTCTAGCCCCTCCCTCTGGCTCCTCTCAAACCTTCTCCCTATTCCTAAAGTTCTAGGTCCTAAGCTTATAGCCACACCCCCAGGTCCCCAAGCCCTGCCCCTAATTCTGCCCCAGTGTCCCTACCCGCCCTCACCCGTCTCCGGGGTTCTAGCCCTGTGCCTGACTTCTTTCTGGGGTCCTAACCCCCAGGCCTTTCCCCCATCCTCTAGCCCCGCCCCCGGTCTCTCGCTGGCGTCTTAGCCCCGTCCCAGGCCCTCCCCCAGGCTCTAGCCCGTCCCTCTGGCTCCTCCCAGGCCTTCTCGCCCGGTTCGTAAAGTTCTAGCTCCGCTCCAAGTTCAGAGTCTCTCCCCCAGACCCGCCCCCAGGTCCTACCGTTGCCCCGGGCTCCTCCGACAGGCTGACTCCGCCCCAATTTTCATAGCCCCGCCCCTCCCAGGTGTTGGTCCCGCCCCGCGGTGCTGCTGGCCTGGCTCCTCTCCCCTGACCACTCGGCCTCCCCCGACGTCCCTTTCCCACCCGGATTCTTACTCATCCCGGCCTCCCGCGGTCCCGAGAGCTTTCCGAGTTATTCACCGCGTCTTGCCATGCCCGCCCTGCCCTGACTCAATTCCTTCTCCATTTCCTCTCGTTTTTCAACTCTATTTCCCCTACATTTTCCGGGGGAAGCAGGTGAGGCGGTCACGGTCTCGTTGTCGAGGAAGTAGTGAAAGCGAAGTGTCCACGGGGCATAGGCCCCGGGGCTCCTGGTCTGCTTAGCTCAGAGGACCGATTGTAAAATGCGGTGCGATGTTGTCCCCCTTCCATCCCAAAGCAGGACCCCATAGAGGAGGGAACTCGGGCGGGGGCAGCTGCGGGGGCAGACGCCCCACTGTCGGTGCCTCCTCGTTCTCTGATTTGACACAAGGAAGCTTCCAGCAGCTCCAGGACTGAAGAAGTTTCCTAAACGACTGACCTCGTCAAATACCTGAGCACCCGGAGGGTGTGCCAACAGAACAGTTGGCTGCGTTAGTGGAGGAGGTGCGGGCTGAGCCTTCCGCCCTTACTTCACTAGCCCATCCGCCCCAGCCCCCCGCAGACGTTTCAGGTACCTACGGCTGGCTTACCTGGGACACAGGTTTGTAGCAGTAGCAGCGGCAGCAGCAGCCGGGGGCCCATGCTCCTGTCCTGGGTCTTCCTGCACCCCTGCTCTAATCTGACCCAGGGGAAGTTAGACAGTTTTGTGGACCCAGAGCTCCACCCAGGGTTTGGCTAAAGAGCGAGTCAGCCTCGCTTGCGTGAGCGCCTCCCCTTTCTCCCCCACAACCGGAACAAACTTCCCTATCTGAGCCAGGCACCGCCTGACTCATGGATTGAGGTCATAACCCAATCATAGCACTCCCTGGGTTCAAATCCTGGGACTGCCTATGTATGGGGCCTTGGGCAGTTATTCTGCTGAGCAGTAGTGTGAGGATAAACTTGTGACAGAAAGTTAAGTGTGGCTATTAAGACAGTATTGGAACTTGTTGTTTTGAGACAGGGTCTCACTATGTAGATCCAGCTGGGGAGCAATTCGCCTTGTAGACCAGGCTGACCGCAACCTCACAGAAACCCTTTTGCATCTGCCTCCTGGGATTAAAGGCACTAGTCACCATACCCAGCATGTTGGCCCCTTTGTAGTCATTTTTTCAGCCTTATAGATGTTCACATTACTTAGAAGTGAATGTCTTTGATGGCTGTTTACCCTTAAAATGAGTGTGCTGGCACACTGTGTGTGTGCCTGTGTGCACACTGGGGGGTGTAGGGGAGGACAGCAGGTGTTTTCCTCTGTTCCTTTATCTTATTCCCTTGAAACAGGATATCACTAAACCTAGAGCTTATTATTTTTCAGCTAGGCTGCTGACCAGCAAGCCCCAGGAATCCTCCCACACCTGGCTTTTTATATAAGTGCTGAAGATTTGAACTCAGGTTCTCACAGCTTGTGCTCACTGAGTCTTCTTAGCCCCTTAAAATGCATTAGAAGGAGTCAGGCATGGTGGTACATTCCTGTAATCCCAGGTCCTCTGGAGGCTGAGGCAGGAGGATCGCCAATTCAAAGCCAGGCTGGACAACTGAAAAAGACCCTGCCTCCAAATTGAAAAAGAGAAGAAAAATATTTTAGAAGAAAATAAAAGTTGATCTGGCAATATGGTTCAGTGAGTGACACTTGCTGCCAAACGTGAGGACCTGAGTTTGATTCCTGAGACCCACAAGGTGTAAGACATGAACTGAGCACAGTAGGGTGTCCTCTGACCACCGCATCTTCACTCTGGCATGGTTTCCAAAATTAATTAATTTAAAGAGGCGAAGCCAGGTGTGGTGGTGCACGCCTTTAATCCCAGCACTCGGGAGGGAGAGGCTGGCAGATCTCTGTGAGTTCAAGGCCAGCCTGGTCTACATAGTGAGTTCCAGGACAGCTGGGGCTACAGGTAGACCCTGTCTCAAAAAGACCGAAAAAAAAAAAAAAAAAGAACAATCAAGCAGGTAAGTGCACTGACTGCTCTCACAGAGGACTGGGGTTCGATTCTCAGCACCCACATGGCAGCTAAATGTCAGGTAACTCTAGTTCCAGGGGAATCCGACAATTTCTTCTGATCTCCACAAGCATTGCACGACATGGGTGCACTTACACACATGCAGGCAATACACTCATACACATAAAATAAAGATAAATAAAACATATAAAAGAAAGGCAAAATAGTGAATTATTTGTAATTAATTACATCAAGTATAAAGATGTGTAAGGGCTTAGTGTGTCATTTTGTCTCTCTGTGTGCTACTAAAAGTGTGTAATAATTTTTAAAAAACCCTCAGGAGGAATTTATGTATATATTTTTTAATTTTTTTATTCTATTTAGTTAGTTTTTTTGTTTTTTTTTTTTTGTTTTTTGAGATAGGGTCTCACTATGTAGTCTGGTTGGCCTAGAACTCACTGTGTAGACCAGGTTGGTTTAATTTCACAGAGATCCACCTGCCTCTACCTCCCAAGTGCTGGGATTAAAGGTCTGCACCACCATGCCTGGGTGTGCAGTGTCTTCTAAGGTCAGAAACAGCATCAGATCCCCTGGAGTTGGAGTTACAGATGGTTCTGAGTCTCTGGACGTGTGTCCTCTGCAAGAGTGCTCTTAACAGCTGAGTGCTCTTAACAGCTGAGCCATTTCTCCCACCCTTTATTCTGGTTTTTTTTTTTTTGAGACAGGGTTTTACTGGACTGGCCTCAAACTGGAGATCTTCCTGCCTCAATCTCCTGGTGCTGGGATCATAGGTGCACACCACCATATTATGACCAAGAAGAGCAATTTCATTCAAGGGAACCCTGGCTGACCAAAATGAGGACTCACTAAATCCCTTTAACACTCACCAGAGACCTGCTTTGTGTTGAGCAAGGTTCCAGTAGTTGATCACAGCAGGGAATAAGGTGAAAGGCTCGCCCTGGAAGTACAGTCTACATTTGTTATCTAATCTTTGTCAATCAGGTGGTGATAAGTAGAAAACTAAGCCCACTGAGGGAGGAACAAGGATAGCAGTCAGGCCTGCGCTACTCAGGGTATGGACAACCATGAGAAAGTGTCATTTGAGCAGTGAAGAAATATGTCTGGCAGGAATGGAGGGAAACCTTTGCAGATTAAGGGAAAAGTCTGTGCAAAGGCCCCAGGAAACGCCCCTGATGACATCTAGGAATCCCAGGCAGGTCAGTGTGGTTGACAGAGTGGGGGTGGGAGAGTAGAGGGTGGTGAGTAACAGCTCTCTCTACAGTAATGAGCTCACTTCTGTTATTCTCACGAGTCATTGAAATCTAGACTAATAAGGCTGGAACCCAGGGCTTCGTGCATGATAGGCAGGGGTTCTACCACTGGGCCACACCCCAGCCCCTCACTGGGGGATTCTAGGCAGGTGCTCTACCACTGAGCCACACCCCCAGCCCCTCACTGGGGGATTCTAGGCAGGAGCTCTACCACTGAGCCACACCCCAGCCCCTCACTGGTCAATTCCAGGCAAGCACTCTACTAGTGAACCAAGCCTTCAGTCCTTAATTTGATAATTTTAAGATAAAGCAAAAACATGTACTGAACAAATTTTCTAAGAAGTAATATAATTCAGTGGTTAAGAGTATGGGGCTAGGACGTGAGAAATGGCTCAGCAGTTAAGAGCACTGCTGCTCTTCCAGAGGACCTGAGTTGGGTTCCCAGCACCCATGTTGGATAGCTCACAGTCACCTATAACTCCAGCTCCAGAGGATCACCTGGACACACACACACACACACACACACACACACACACACACAATTATATATACTAAGGGCTAGAATAGGACTCAGCAGTTAAGAGTACAATCCTGCTCTTGCAGAGGACCCAGGTTTGGTTTCCAACACCCATATGGCAGCTAACACCCATCTATAATTCCAGTTCCAAGGGGTCCAGTGGCCTCCTCTCACATCCTTGGGCACTGCATGCGCTCAGGAGGCTGAGGCAGCAGGATGGACAGCCCAAAGTATATTATGAGTTTGACCCCAGCCTGGGCTACATAGAGAGATCCTGTCTCAGGAGGAGGAAGAGGAGGAGGAAGGAGGAGGAGGAGGAGGAGGAGGAGAATACATTTATAATTGCTATAAGGCAGCTGGGTGTGGTGGTGCACACCTTTAATTCCAGCACTCAGGAGGTAGAATCAAGTGAATCTCTGTGAGTTTGAGGACAGCCTGGTCTACATACTGAGTTCTAGGCCAACTGGGGCTACAGGGAGAACCTGTCTCAATAAGACCAATATATATATATATATATATATATAAGTCTCCTAGAACATAGTGGAAAATATATATATATATATATATATAATTGCTATAGGGCCTGGGACATAGTATATGCTCAGTAAAAAGACAGCTGTCATGACCATTTTGTTACCCTGACTAGAATCTGTGAACTGACATTCCTAGAGAAAAGCCACACCTGTTAAAAACACTCTGCAAAGCTGATTGACTAATTGTGGAGAGTTGCAATGTTACAGGTCCAGAGTCAAATTTATCTTGTGCTACCTTTGACCCTCTAAATAGACGTGTATTGCCTGTCTCTGTTTGATCTAACATCATGGTGACTGTTAGATAAATCTTTTTGGATTTATCCAAACAGGTTCCTAGCCTTCACCAACCCAAAGGCTAGGCAAGTCATCAGATAACATCTGAAGCCTATTCCAGAGGTCTCCCCACTTTGCTGTAAGTTGTCCACCTGTTGTTTCCACTGATGTGTTTGCAAAGTGCTTTGATTTATGATGTTCTTTGTTCTGTAACTATAAAAACTTGTGGGAACATGGTATTTGGGGTAACCTGAATCTGTGTTCTTAGGCTGTGATCACTTATACTTGGTCCTGGAATAAACTCTCTTATTTCCTGTTAAGTGAGAGCTGTTTTTACACCAGCAAATCCCATCTTGCATTTTTGTCTTCCTGCAGTGACAAGGGAGTTGGGGGTGTGTCAGGGAGTCTGAGGTCAGCTTCAGACTGTCATGCAGATGAGGGCCAGGATAGATCTCTCCCTGCCTGGGTCACCCTGGACCAACACAGTTCCTTTATTCCCTTTCCTGAAATATGGGGCTTCTCTTGGGGTGGCATGAAGACTAAACAAGACTTTGATGCAAGTGACTGGGGAGAGAGAATGCTGGACTGGGGGCGTGGCCCAGTGATAGAGCACCTGCCTGGATCCCCCAGTGAGGGGCTGGGGTGTGGCTTAGTGGTAGAGCACCTGCCTAGAATCCCCCAGTGAGGGGCTGGGGTGTGGCTCAGTGGTAAAGCACGTGCCTAGAATCCCCCAGTGAGGGGCTGGGGTGTGGCT